GGTAACACCCCTGCTATATCGCACAAACATGGTAAATGCCTGAAATCTATTTAAAGATGTAGATTGTGGTATTGCAAATAGTTAGTCTGTAAAGATACACATGCAATTCTCAGTATCGAGGTCTAAAAGACAGTACATACCTTGGGTTGCAGACCATATCAGAGGCTAGCTAATCTCCAGAATCATGCAGTGAAGATCTTGCAATCAAATTATCGTACCAGCTAGCTTAGTGGGTACCACCAAAAGACAGAAAATTAAGTGATGCTTCAGAGGAAGAATAACAACATTCCTTATGCTCTCGGGCTCTAACGTATGTTGAATCAGAAGGTACTGGGACAGGTTACTACTTGAGCGACATCTACCTAAGCCTCATTCTTTGAATTTAAGTATTTGCATAGTTTGTCTGAGTCACCTTTATAATTAGGAAAAGGAAGCTATGTAGCCCTCTTAAATCTAACATCTGTTCTGATACATTAAGGTACTGTAAGCCACAGATTGCAAATATACATCATAAAAGATTTAACTGTGTCATCCCAGCACCAATAATGCAGTCAAGAATCTGCTTTTTCTGACAGCAGAAAAAGGCGCATTTGATTTTCACTACAATTCTGAATACGTCAGTCATGTCCAGGGCTTGACAAATTAGTTTATCTGTTTGCCCGTGGCGAGTAGATTTCAGCTGGTCGCCCGTTCACCGGTGGCATGTGCAATGCGGGTCTGGTGCATGCACAGTGCGGGGATGGCAAGTGGATTTTGCCGCAGTTTGTCATCCCCTGGTCATGTCTAATGTAAATATCTTTTTCCACATGTAATTTCACACTCATATGTTCACATACACTCCTATATATGCAGTCCTTTGTCAAATTGATTCACTATTTGTTTATCTCTCCATGAAACACCAAAGTTGAAGACACAGCTGCAGTTAAAATATCATGGTCTGCTACATCAACCTGGTAACAGATACTTTTAAAATTAAAGAGATCTCCTCTCACTTCTGCCACTGGCTGGCTCCCTTTATTTTCTTCCCACTTTAAGTAGCAGATCCTCCAGGCTCAAAGCTGATCAGTGTAGATAATTTATAGTTATTTTTATAGCTGCCTATTGTAGACATGACACTTCAATACCTTGTGCTATCTACTGTAGTTTAAACAGCCATAGTGTCTTTTTAATCATTACAATTCCACTAACATCTACTATGTTGGAGCCACAGACAAACCACCAACTCGGTATCTAATTCTTCTCTAGTGAAACTTCCAATACAAATTTTAGAACCATTCTCTTTACTAACTCCTCTGGGTGGAAAACAGTTCTTTACTTTGACTGTTTGTTGCTCACCATCCTTAAATCAGCAGCACAAATATTTCCCCACAGTTACTTTTCTTAAGTTTCAGGGACTTCTAGTTTAAATAAAAAATGAAAGTCTGATGCTGAATTGACGGGAAGGGATTGGATGCCCAGAATTAACTTGTATTACACCTTGGCTTAGTTTTTCCTTTACAGAAGCTATTCAGTTGATCATCTTAGATACAGCTTAACCATTGGCTCTACTAGTCTATCCTTAGACATACGTTGTATGAACTGTAAGTAGCAGGATTTATTTACTGATTCCTACAACTCCTACAGAGAAAAGCTCTGTTCCCTGTTTGGAATTGATGATTTGAAAAATATCCATGTTTGCGTAAGTACCTCAGCTACTTTATACTTTCACTATCATCCAGTCCTAAAGACTTCAGTTTAAGTTCTGCCTCTAGTATTTCTCGTGTAGTTTTTAACAAAGAAAATCTCCCATCAAATTCCTTTCAACTAGTCGCTCCCCCACCTCTCTTGCGGCTTCTATCAGAAAGAGGTAGCAAGGGGTGAGGGAAGAAAAGGAGTGTTTCAAAGCGACAGTGCCTGGGCTCAGTGCAGCGCTGCCGCTTTGAAATACCGTGGGTAGCCTGGGGCCAGGAGGTCCCAGGCTTTCCATGCTGTTTCAAAGTGGCAGTGCGGCATGGAGCCCGGGATCAGCTGAGGATCCTGAGCTGCTGCTTTGAAATGCCACAGGGAGCACGGGCCCAGCAGGGGACTGCTGGCCCCATGCTCCCTACAGCCCATTGGGCTGTTGCTACACTTCAAAGGCAGAGGCTTATCGACTAATCGAATAGTCAATGCAAATTGCATCAAATATTCAATTAGCCACTTAATCTAAATGTAACATCCCTACTAGGCAGTATAGACAGTAGCTAGCTGTGGAGTTCTTGGACAGATCCCTCCCCCCACCCTTCCTCCTGCACGCAGTGCCTTTGTAGTGCTCCTGCTGCATTATTTCTGAGTGTAGAGAGAAATATTACTGCTAGTCATTGGTAGTGAGCAAAAGATGGCAGATTCCTCAACAGATCTGAGCCTAATTTCATCATACCACAGTGGTACTGTGGTCATCTTGTGTTTATACTGAGTTGTCATACTGAATTAGCTAGGCAGTCCATTTAGTTCTGTATCTTGTCGGACAGTGACCTGTGCCAGAAACCCCATACGTGACATTATGGAATAACCTGTTGAGGGGGAATTTTTTTTGTAATCTGTCAGCTCAAAGTTGGCAATTGAACTGAAACATGAGGATTTTACACTTTTTCTAAAATGTATTTTATCCTATCTACGGTAACTGGTTCTTTTCAGTAGCTGTACCAATCTGGAATCCTTTTAAAATCTGTCTTTGCTCTTCAGAGTGCCTTGTATCAGTGAGTTCTACAGAACATGTTGCTGCTGTTCAGTTTCACTGGCTGGCAGCTTCATCTTATATGATGGAGATAAACAAGCTGCCATTTTAACTTGTGTATCTAGTTATTGTGTAGATGTCCTGCAATGGTCCCTTTCCAGACATTCCACATATCTTCAGTCTCCACGTAAAGAATTCATCTTTATGCCTGCAATCACTTCTATTGCTGCTCTTGGAAAACTTTCTGCTGATGTTCTTGACCTAGTGTGCCCAGAGCGGAACATGGTGTTCCAGATGAGGCTGCACTATTGATTTATGTCATATGTTTATATAAGGAGTTAGTCAGGCTGTCAATTGCAATTAACATGCAATTAACTCAAATTAAAGCATTAGCTTTTTTTAATGCATGCCGATTCCACACTTCTGAGAGAACTCTGGCTGAAACGGGGAGAGTCAGTCAGTCCACTGCCCAGGATGCCATGCTCAGCAGGGCACTGCTGCATGTATCTGGTGAATCCAGCCTGGCCATACAGTTGCACCCACTGTGAGACTGTCTGCCTTGAGCTGTAGCACAGAAATAAGTAACACCCAAAAATACTTAAATGGTATTCTATTATTGCTTAATAGTGCCATTCAGACAGTGAATAATCAGGAATACATTTCATGTAATTAATCATGATTTAACTATTTGACAGCCCTAAACTTTACTAATATTTTGTCTGGTTTTTTTTTGCTATTGATTGCCTTTAATTTAGAACTTGGTGATGTATACATGCATTCAAGTCATTCTTCCCGTTGTGCATTTTGTCAGTATATAATACAGGTTGGACCTCCCTGGTCTGGCACGCTAGAGACCTGACCTGTCCTGTCCTGGATGAGGGATTTTGCTGGACCAGGGGAGGTCATACCTGGCCTCCCAGCTTCTTCCTTACCACTAGCCTTGCTGGTCCCTACCCCTTCCTTGCTATACTGGGCAGCCCAGCTCCCTGTGCTGTGGAGTGCTGGGTTCCTGGCTCTGCCAAGCACCCCCACTGGGTTGTGCCTGGCTGCCCAGTTGCCATGTGCCAGGGAGCCCAGCCACCAGCCCTCCACCAGAACTCTCTGGTCTTGGAACACCTGTGGTTTGCCCTGTAGTGGTTGCTGGGGGCAGTTTAATGATATTAGAGGAAAGTTCAGCTCACATTTCTCAGACAGGAATTACTATAGTACCTCAGTCATCCACCTAGCCATGCATTACAACAGTACTACAATACTGTATCTAATGTTTCTCTTTTAGGTGGCCAGGGCTAATATTACACAGTGGTACTGGAGAGGCTATTTAGGTGACATGCATGTAAATAACCAGCTGTGCTAGGATAGGAGGGCTATTGCATAGCACCCTTAACAGCTACCAAGGGCCTGAGTTTTCAATACTAACTAAACCATGGACTCTGCTAAGGCAGTGCTACTAGGGTAGTAGGGTCAGAGAAGAAAAGTGGTGCTACTTAAATCAACAGCACTTTTACAGAAATGGGTGTATTCCTGGAGTGCTCTCAAGCTGCCATGACCCTACCCAGCTTGTAAAATTTGCAAGCAGAGGGCAGAGTCCGTTACTAGGCTTCTCTGTTAAACTGAGAAGTTAAATTCACCTAGAGGAATATACACTCAGCACACACCTATTTAATCTTAGATTGGTATAGTTGTATGCTCAAAGCAGGCAAACTTCCATCTGGACCATAACAGCAGGAAGGGAGTTCAGCAGTCTCTTTACTGCCTGGGAGATGTTTCCATGGGCAGTATGTGTTATAGACTACCAGTTGTGTCCCAAGCACCATGTTTGCACTAGGGTAAGAAGGAAGGGAAGATAGCCATGTTCTGCCCAGCAGCTGTCTTGATGAGAGTAAGGCAACAGTCTATATTGCTTTCAACATGGAACATCACAAGAGGAACCATGTAGTGCATCATCTCTAGAATCAGGCTGCAGATTCTCCAATATACTCCAGCCTTCGCTGTTAGAAGGCACTATTCCTCCTCCATGGCTGCAGCAGTGAAGCAGGCCAAGTTTCTCTCCTCCTTAGCTATCTTTAGCTGCCTTCAAAGTGACACACTCTCTAAATGCCATGTTCTGACAATAGTTCATCCTAGCAGATGAGCTATCCAGCTGGGAGGCGGAGTTCTACATTTCACACCCTGCCTTCTCTTGCTACAAGTGCATATGCTAGCAGCTGTACGTACTGGACCTGCAGAGTCCTGTATCTGGCATGAACAAGTTTAGTCACCTTCCTAGTGATTCATGAGAGGGAGGAAAGAATTCCAACACCAAAGGTTAAGCAGGAAATGGAGTTTTATTTAAAAACGATTTATGAATTAATTTACTGCTCCTCCTCCACCTGGGAGCAAAGGACACTGTACTCTTCTGGACTTACAGCATAGTGGGATAGAGCACTTAGAAATTCCTCCAGGGGGCAGAGACCAGCTCTACATCCTCTTGCCACTTGTTCCTGCAGAGGCACAATCAAGTTTCCACCCAATTAATAAGTGACTAGTTCTTGTGCTGCCCAAATCCCTTGTACAATTTCAACCAGGCAAGTTGAGGCAGAGCTTAAAGAACTTTGGCCTGGCCTCTGAGCCAGTGGAACTTTTTGGCAGACAGAGAAGGAGGTTCCTGCCCAGCCATGTTGTCCGTGAGTATTTTATTGTGCAATCAGAATGTGTCTCATTCCACTGCTTAGAGGGCTGGAATTCTGCCGCAAAGCCTACTGTCTAGCACTTGAATTGCAAAGGATCCACTGAATCCTTACCTCTCCCTGGTAAGACAGACGAACAAACCATTCTTTGGACTGCTGATGCTGATACAGTTCCACTGTCACATCTGCAGCATAGGGTGGCCACTTGTGGTCAAAGGTCCCCAGTGCCATCAACAGAGGGATGAGAGTAATGTCATGAGCAGCATAGAGTATGAGCTTTCTGTGTGAGTGTGGGGGAGAGAATAAAAGAAACGTTTTTAATTTATTTCTTGTGGATCTCTATCAGCTGCATGTCTTTGCTAATAGAGAATTAGCTTTTAAAACTAGCAAATGGTTACATACGTAGCCATTCCTTTACTCACACATACTCAATGTTTAAGGGAATTGGCTCTTTACACATGCAACCAATCAGAACTGATGGTAGCTGGGCAGACAATTATATTGTCCTATACCTGGCTTTTGTAGCAGGAGCTGATGGATTCACTGCTTTCACAATATTATCATTCAGTGCATAGAGAAGAGGACCAACGCTCATCTGGAGAACCTCTCTAGAACAGATGGAATTTGAAATTAGCCTGAACAAAAAAATGATCTATACATTTAAAAAAAACGGTGTGAACTCTCATAGGATAGATTATTTCATTTCCCCATTTGGTTTACTCTGGTATAGGGACATTCAAACTAGGGGCTGTGATCTGTATTGGGGTCATGATTATACCCTCCATTTCTGGATGGCTTCAGAGAAATGGGGAATCCTGAAACATTTTCTTTTAATGCAAGGTCAACAAATGGAAAGGTTCAGAACCACTGCCCTAATGGAAAGGGACAGCATCCCCACCACCAGACAATAGCTTCTGGCTGTTTTTTTTTATATTATTAAAGGAAAACAAATACTGTGTCCTGTGGTATGACTTCTTACAAATAAATGTGACACAGTTACTCAGCTGTGTGTATCAGCTGGTTTGGTCTGTAAGTCCTGTGTTGCAGGCCAGGAAGGTACCCTTCTCACTGGCATCAACCTCTCTCTTCACAGCCCTGCTGTGTATTACAGGTGATGATCTGTGGGCTAAATGCCTGGTGGGATTCAGCTCTCTCACGTCTGAAATGACATCCTGAAAAAGGGATTCTTTGCTCCTCCAGCCTTCCATACTGGAACCTTCCCCTTTCAAACTAGTGAAGGGCAGAACTATCCTTCAGGCTTTAGTTATGAGATGTCACCTTGAATTATGTTCCATGATGTACAGTACTGAGTCGACAGACCGACGTTCAATCATTTTTAGGAAATTTTTCATCACGGGGCAGCTGGGCAAGTCATGTACCTGAAAGAGTACACGGTGCGTAACAACCAGCACGTAACCACTCAAAAGCAAGGACCTACACCCACACTCATACCTAAACACTGGTATTCATGGGCTAAGTTTCACAATATGCACACTTCATAGGTCTGCACTTGCTGTAGAAACTAACTTGTAATGGGCATTAAGAGTTTCTTTTAATATAAGGAGCTGGCCCTTACACCAATTGTAAGGTTTATACATATTTCTCCTTAAGCTTTCACTCACATAAAGAGCACTGAATGCGCTCTTAACACCTAGGATGGAGATACAGAGCTATTCTGCTGCCAGCTAGCCCAAGTGCATCCTATTAATAGCTCTGATGTACAATAGGGATACATGAAGGGTTTTGAGTCTCTTCCTTTGAGACCGGGTTCTACGTAAGTTAACAATAAAGGCAAATCTCAGGAAGGCAATACATTTAGATTAACTACTGTGGTAGAGCCTGGTAAAAATGCCACCTGCCCATAGGCCCAGTTCTTGGCATGCTGATTAGAGCTAGGTAAATAAAAGTAGGAGAAAACTTTGCAAATATATAGGCCAATATTTGAATTATTTACTGAGCTTTGTAATCAGAGTGAAGGAAGAAAAATATTTCTTGAATATTTTATTTCACGGGTTAGGGAGAACTTGCTATTTAAATAAATTTTCTGTTCTATAATCATGTGCTCGCAACACTCAATGGTTAGAGAAGAGGGTGCTCTGAACCTTGCAGAATCATACTTCCTACTGAAACAATCTTCCTCGAGCTGCTACTAGGGGCGGCATCCGGCCAACTGGGCTGCACAGGCAGATGCCTGTGGAACAAAACTGATTTTAGGGGGCTCGGCCCATGCACAGGGATCTACCCGTGTGGCTCAGCTTGCAAGATAGGGGCCTGAAACAGGAACCATCCAAGGCTATTTCTATGACATTGCTGCAATTCCATCCAACCTCACCTGCTCAGCAAAAATGTTGTCAAGCAGAAGAAAAAAATCCACAGACTTCTCACTTTCAATCCCCATCTCCTCTCGAATCGTCTTCAGATCATCAGAGATGCCTGGCTGCAACAAGACACTTTCCATTTTACCCCTGTCAAGGAAAAGAAAGCTTTTTAGATCCTCAGGCACTTAGAGGAAACAAGATAGCTGCAACAGAACCTCCTGCTGGGTGGGTAGGGCTCTCTTCCAGGCCTGAGAGCAAAGAGAATGGAAACAGCTGAGTGCTGGATTGAGTCCCAGTGTTTGGAATGCTGACACTAGAAGTGACAGATTCTCAGTGTCTGAGTTGATGCCAAGACTTCAGATTTGTCATTAGAACTCCAACCTGGGGATAGGGGAGGAGATGTTAATTCCAAGGAGGAAAACTAAATGAGACACAAGCATTTCAAAAGAAAAGGACACACTTAGCCATGATTACATCTCAATTACTAATCTGTGTCACACTGGAACTCAGCCCACCTGCGCCTCCAGGGAGCACTCCTTTGCCAAACTAGCCTCACAAGGAAAGGGCAGTGAACAAAACTTCTACATTTGTTGTACAAGCAATGCAGAGTGACGCTTTAAGCTAACGTGGCCTAAAACCTTCCACAAGCAGCCCCTCTTTTCAAATGTTTTTAAATATTGCCAAACTTCAACCCTATGGGCTGAGAATGAGGGCAGGAGTTTCAGCAAAAACTCTTCAACCATTTCCCAGAACTAGATTAGCAGAAAACAGCTTTATTAATATTAAAAGGGAAAAAAGGCTGGCCATTTCTTTCACCAGCTCTAGCACCTCAACCCTGGAGCAGGGACTACAAGCTTGACAGGCCTTTGAGTCAGAAAAGTGTTTTGCGGTTCCCCTGAAAATTCAGCAATCCTGCCCAAAATTTTACACGCATACAGTTGTTTCAGTGCTTGCTTCTTAGTTTTGTCAATGTTCCAGCAGCAGTGTGCAAGTTCTCAGGCCTCACTGAGCTACCTGCAACAGTTAGCCTACTTGCCTGCCTGCTCCTTAGTCCTGGCCTCATCAAATACACCCTACACTGCAAAGCAAGCATTCAGTTGTTATATACCAGAATTAAGGTTGTCTCTCTGCGCGAATGAATTCTGATCGTTTCTACTGTGCTATTGACAAAAGTGAGCGTCATGTAATCCAAGACAAGCATGGTACATATGTGCAAAGGAGAAAGAGAGAGCACCAGCACTCTTAATTCTGGCATTTACTAACTTGAATGCCTGACTTTGCAACCTTAAAGTTCTTTTCATGTCAATTTTGATAAGAAAATATTTTAAGTTCTCAGATAAAATCTTTGTTAAAAAAGATGCCAAGCCTGTAAGGTAAGACTAGAAATGTTACATGGATGTTGTAATGATCCCAAAATGAAACACTATCACATCTTGGGTATTCAGAGTTTGGATTTATTTTAAATTTAATTCTAACGCATTGAAGGATGGAACTGCACAAGTAAGGCTTCCAAGACAGCTCAACTGTGCCGTGCAGGCATTCCATGCTATAACCATACAATTATGAGTACTCCTGGGGCACCTCAGAGACTAACAAAAATATATATAGTATCATGAGCTTTCGTGGGCAAAATCCACTTCATCAAATGAGCTCTTCTGATCAAGTGGGTTTTGCCCACAAAAGTTCAAGATACTACATATTTGTTAGTCTATAAAGTGTCACAAGAGTAGTTGCTGGTTTTAAAGTTACAGACTAACACAGCTACCCTCATATACAATTATGATTTGTGTACAAGTGTTTGCAGTGAGTAGATGAAACTGATCTTTCAAGATCCATTAAACAGTTACTCCCATAAAGTGGAAAAAATACAGTAGTGTCTGTCACTGGTACTTCATGCAGCTACACCTTAACAAGGAGCACCACTATTGTGATAGGAAGAATTCAGCGAATGAGAAAATTATGGTGCTTTAAGTAATTGACACTGTGGTCACCTTATATGGGATGATGTGACAAGGAATTACCTGCTCAAGTGTTTTAGGCGCTGGCAGTTCTGGTAATTGGGGTAGAGGATTTCAGTGCTTGCTTCATCAGTGACGATAGTGATAGGGCCTATAGAAAGGACAAGATGAGGCTTCTGTTAGCCTTAGCACACACAGGTTTGCCTCATACTAGATTTCCTTTCACTAACACAGGAATGCAGAAATGGGCCTTTGAGAAA